GCACGACCCGGGAGAATGATCTGCCAGTGAGGGTTCGCCGCAAACTGCTTGAGGAAGGAGTTCTTGATCGTCACCCCCACTCCTGCCCTGGCGGGCGTGGGGCCTGGTGACCACCAAGATGTGCAAGCATCGGGATTTCTCCACACCTCATTGCCTCCATAGGACCCGTGCGTCTCGGTCCAGAGGCCGATATCGTGGGTGGCCATCAACTTCCTCACGTAGGTCGCCTTCCGGCGATGACGGCCGGGGTCCGCGGCGAAGAGGGCCTGTGTGTTCCATGTGATGACGGAGACATCGCCGAGGTACGGGCTGTGGGCGAGCGAAGGCTGACCTCTGGGTGCGCGAGTGCGTGGAGGCAGCGCTGCAGGGAGCGCACTGGGGCGCAGCGCGCGCCGAAATGCGTTCTGAAGCCGAATCTGGACCGGAACGTCCGTCATGGAGTCGTCGGGCAGCTGATCCAGTGAGGTAGAAACATGATGAAAAAGATGAAGAAGTGCAAGTGCAGGTAGCTGAGTAGATGTACGCCGAGAACGTTGAGAAGAAGGTGACGAAGAACAAGACGACGTGATATGCCCACTCATGCTGTAGGGAGCGCGGCGCTGGGAGCCCGGGCCGGCACTAGCCGGTTGGAGCTCGAAGGCGACGTCCACGAGCCAACATGAGGTACCCTTGCAATCAAAAATCTAAATTCCATAGCTCGTCGAAGGCGCTGGGGAGGTCACGCGGCGGCGGGGGAGGCAGCCCCCTGCCCCCCCCGCCGCCTGTTTCCCGGCAGGGTGCGAGAGTCCTGGACGTCGTTGGACACCCTGATGGCCAAGAAGTCCACGCCGACCTGGAGCACCTGACCATGCAACGAGCGATACACCTGCTGGACATCTTCCTGTGAGTGTAGGTACACGCGTGCGCGGCCAGGATGAGCGCTAGCGTCCCGAGAAGCAAGATGGACCCACTGTCCTGGCCGTGGCACCTGACCTGGGGGGGGCCGCGGAGAGCGCCAGGCCCGTGGCTGCACAGACGTGAGACAGGAGCTGATTGATGACCACGCTTCCGTTGTCCCCGGTTTCCCCGGCGACGGTGATCTCCGCGATGTTGTCACACATGGTGGAGCTGCGACCGCCGCGCCCCCGCTGGCGACGGGAGGCAGCGAGGGCGAGAGCAGTAGCGGATGGAAATGCCCAGGGACGGCCGCCATAGCTGCTGGCCTTGTGCTTAATGTTCGTGATCGCGTGGTTCTCATCCTCCTGGAGGCCCCTGTCGAGCAACGCGGTCCACGACTCCACGGAGGCCGACGTGAAGACGAGCACCCTGTCGGATGAGAGGAAGATCGCTTGTGAGCACAACGGCCACGCACGGACCAGTCCCAGCGGGCTGTTGCACTCCACCACGAGGGCGTCTGGAGACGTGTACAGCTCCTTGTGCCCAAGGTACATCTGCTCAGTCAGCACGGTCCTCCGCAGGAAGCGCATGGCGAGCATGGAACCCGCCTCGGAAAGAGAGCTCGGTAGAATGATCTCCACGCACACGCGCGGGACCTCCGGAGTGCTGCCCCAACTTCTGGAGGTATGCCGGCAGAGGAAAGAAACACCATGGTTGGTGACCTCGGGGCTGAGCATCCTGATCATGAAGTTCGGGAAGAGCTGAGTCGGGACGTCGACCCAAAAAGAGTTCACCGCGGGGAGCTGGAGCAGCGGGGCCAAGGGGGAGAAGACGGTCGGTGACGATCGGTGTCCTGCCGTGGTGATGGTGAAGCTCGCGAGGCCCTGCCGTACATGCCGGGGAGCGGACCTTCCAGGGAGGATGTACTCCACAGGCTGCAGGATGATATCCACGGCACGGACCAACGAGATGTACAGCGGCTTCTCGCCGAGGAGCGGGTGCCACCAGAGGTCGAAAAGCTTCGCCGGAGAGTCGACACCAGGAAAATGGGGGATCGGAACCAGAAGCGAAAGTCGCTGAGGGCGAAGTGCTGGATCGGGCTGTCGGAGTAGACCGGCAAGGATCCTCTGGAGCGCATTGGTGTCCACCGGTGCCCAAGCCAAGATATGTTGCCCCCCCATCTTCTCCAGGGCCCGCGTGTCGCCCTTCTCCAAGAGTGTGGCCAATTCACGGTGCTGCTCCAGTGTGGCCGAATGGTCCGTGGTAGTGTTGCTGAGGAGCTGGGACCACTGCGTGGCTAAGGTGGCGTCTGCGCATGTTGGGATGGCGCGGACTGCCTGTAGCGCAGACGCTCCCAACTCTTTCCATCGTGGGAGCTCGGAGGGACGGAGACGGCGACGCTCGCGCAAAACCTCGTCCAGCTGCTCCGCGCACCGCGCGCCAGCGGTCGCGAAGTGAGCAGCGGCCGCCTCCGCGCTCGCTCTCCCAGCCGGGTCCCAATCGGCAGCCTGACCGAGGGAGCACAGGATGGTAGCCGTCCGCGTGCGACTTGCGATGCCCTGCTCGGTAGGCGCGGGGCCGTCGAGTGGGCCGAAACCCAAGACATTCCAGGGGTTGGCGGAGACGGGGTTGTAGGCTAGTTTCAGCAGAATGGCGCGGAGGGCCTCCCAGGTGGAGGGAATCTTGATGGGGAGATTCTGCAGGTCCTGCGGCAGCGTCATGTTGGCGGCCTGCACCAGCCCAAAATGCTGCGCCATCTCATCATCCATGAATTCCGCGAGCCATGCGTCCGGAAGAGGGCCGTGGCCTGGTAGTCCAGGAGGGGGTTGCACGGCAAGGTTCGCAGCAGCCTGGGTGAGGCCCGTCGCGTCGTCGTCGCCGGAGGCGCCACCATGTGCGGCGCAGAAAGCCAAGCCCGGCAGCGCCTCGCCCTGCACCCCATGGCGGAGGCAAACCTGGCACGGCGCCATGGCAGAGGGAAGGTCGGGAGTGCAACTGGTGTAGAGAAACACTAGGACGGCACCCCACCCTTGGCAGGGCTCCTGGTCGGGGGCCTTCGGTGACCTGGTCCGCTTGAGGGTTAAAACTGAGGCCTCAGTTTTAACCCTCGGAAGTGCCAACTTGAGCCACGATTTTACTTGAGCCAGCTGCTCCTGCTCCATCTTGGCAGGAGCAGAAATAGCTGCTCCTGCCAAGATGGAGCCGAAACACGATCCACAGTAAATCAAGGAAATTATGCAGACAAAAACATGAGCCAGACACCCGGCCTCGCATCACCTCCTGCTCCTGCTCCTGCTGCTGCTGGAGATGCAGCTGCACCTCCTGCTGCTGCTGCTGGAGGGGTGTGGAGCAACCGGAGGGCTGCGCAGGTGTTGGCACGAATGCGGAGGCGTGTGGGGGGGAATGGGAGGGCTAACTACGGAGGTTGCGGCACGGGTGCGGAGTTGTGGTGAGGAACGGCAAGGTTGCGGAGGCCTCGGTCGACGAGTGCGGAGGGGTGTGGAGGAATGGGAGGGGCGCGGAGATTTTGGCACGAGCGCGGAGGCGTGTGGAGGAATGGGAGTGTTGCGGAGCTTTTGGCACGCCCGATTGTTCGGCACGGTTCGGAACCAGACACGGCACAGCACGGCGGGACGTTTTCGGCCGTCAGCGGGCCGCTGGGGCTCCCTTGCCAAGCGCAGGGCGGCTCAGAAACGACTCAGGACGAAGAGCTGGTCTGGTTCAAAGGGTCGAGACCTCCGAGGGGTAATTACACGCTGTAACAAAATACGAGGTCGGGATCGCTGGGATTCTCCTCCTGCTCCTCCACCTGCTGCAGCTGCTGCTGCTGCTGCTGCTTTCCGCGAGATGCAACAATGCATCAGAGCTGCTAGCCGCGGCGCCCCGCGCCACTAGGAGGGGGGATGAGGGAGGAGGGAGGAGGGAGGAGAAAGAAGGGAGGGGGAGGGGAGGCGGAGGAGGAGGAGGGAGGGGAGAGGGGAGGAGGAGAGGAGGAGGAGGGGAGGAGGAGGAGGAGGAGGAGGAGGAGGAGGAGGAGGGAGGAGCAGGAGCAGGAGGAGGAGGAGAGGCAGGAGGAGGAGGAGGGGGAGGAGGAGGAGGAGGAGGGGGAGAGAGGAGGAGGAGGAGGAGGAGGAGGATGAGGAGGAGCAGGAGGAGGGGAGGGGAGGAGGAGGGAGGAGGAGGAGGACCCCCCGTGCGCCACCCCCACCAGCAACATACGCCAGCGGATGCGGCCCCGCGCCCCTCTCAGTGCCGTCGCGCGTGGCGCACCCTCTAGCTTCGGTCCCGCCGCTCCATCTTCGGACGACACGCAGGAGGACGAGGAGTAGGAGGATGAGGGATGGGGAAGGATGAGGAGGAGGAGGAGGTGGAGGAGGAGGAGGAGGAGGAGGAGGTGGAGAGGAGGAGGAGGAGGAGGAGGAGGAGGAGGAGGAGGAGGAGGGAGGAGCAGGAGGGAGGAGGAGGAGGAGGAGGAGGAGAAGGAGGAGGAGGCAGGAGGAGGAGGAGGGGGAGGAAGAGGAGAAAGAGGAGGAGGTGCTGACGAGGATTAGGAGGATGAGGGATGGGAAGGGAGGAGGAGGAGCAGGAGGAGGAGGAGGAGGAGGAGGAGGGAGGAGGGAGGAGGGAGGATGAGGATGAGGAAGGAGGATGAGGAGGAGGAGGAGGAGGAGGAGGAGGAGGAGGAGGAGGAGGAGGAGGAGGAGGGAGGAGGAGGAGGAGGAGCACGGAAAAGACGGGCACACTGCCCAACAGCACATGTTGTCCCGAGCCGGCAGCGGCCGCTGTTGGGCGGGGCGGCCTTCCGTCTCAAGTGGACGCAGGCCGCGGCGGCGCGGACAGCGAGTCCTGCTCAGAATGAGCAGGAACTGCGGTCGGGCATCGTGCCCATTCTTTCTGTGCCCATGTCGTGCGTGTAGACCAATCGACGTCGACGGGCGGGTCGCCGTCTCCCAGCCCGTCCTGAGCGGCCCTCTGGCCGTCCCGGGCTGGGCCGTCGGGGGCCCCCCGCCCGCTGCGCCGCGCGGACCTTGCGGCCCGCCGCGCCCCGCTGGTCCGGCAGGTCCTGCCTCCTCCGCCAAGTGCGCGCGCAAGCCCTGCACCGCGCAGTTGCGATAGCCGGCGGGCCGCTCGTGGAGCGCTGCCTCGGCCGCCGCCTCGGCGGGGAGCTCGAAAACGAGCTGGTCGCTGCCCTTGGCACAAGCGCCGGGTTCGGGCGGCGCCTGGGCCAGCCCCGCGCGGCAATCGCAGACTTTGGGCTTCTGGAGGTTCTCGCGCTCCGCCTCCATCTTCGTGACAACTTTGTAGACCTCGCGCGCGGCGAGCCTCGCAACTCCTGGGCACGCCGGCAAGGGGCTTCCTGGCCATGACAAAAACGCCCGGCCACGTCCGTGTCCATCAGGCCGACGTTGTGCGCCCTCTCCGCGAAGTTGAAGTCCAGCGGCGGGGGCGCCCGGGCGAGCTGCGAAGCCGCTCTCTCTTCCTCGTTCTCGGGCGGAGCGGCGGGCTCGGCCTTGGATAACTCGGAGGTCGTCTCGACGCTCCGCCCACATCGCGCATCAGCGCCCGCCAGGATGCTCCCCAGGATCTCGAGAGGACGCAGGGCGCGCGTCACGACGCCCTTTGCGATCGTGATATGGGCGGCCCAGTCGGCGGGCGCCGCGGCGTCGTTCTGCTTCAACATGAGGGCCCAAAGAGCGAGCACTGCGGATAGCATCGCCCACTTCCAGGGGCATGCTCCGAGGCTGGCAGCGTCGTCCACGAGGCCCGCGTCCCGGTGCGTCTTCGCGCGGATGTTGAAGTAGGCGGCGTAGCTCTGGAACAGCTGCAGGGCGGCGTCGTCGAAGCGCAGCTCGGTGAGGCTCGTGTGAATGCTTCACGAATTCTTTAGCCGCCGCCTTGATGTCTAGCTCAGCCGGGACCGCGACGTCCCGGTCTGGAAGCAGCCACTCGGCGACGAAGCTCCCATCGCCCTGGTGCAGCCGCAAGCGGGTTCGGACACTGTCCAGGAGCTCGATCTGCCACCCGTTCTTCTGCGGGTGGCAGCCCTCCGAATCAAACTATTCCTGCCCAGCCGCGGCTGCATTGAGGCCCTCGAGAAGCCGTGGCCGCTTCCACGACGGATCCGACTTTGCCGTCGAATTCGAAAGGCGGGACCAACGAGTTGAGGATTCTGCACCGCTCCACCTCTGCGCCGACGCGGAAGCCAGGGCACTCCTAGTGCGGCTGGACTGGATCGCCAAACGCGAAGATCATCCGCGCACGGGCTTGCACCCGGCATCCCCACGCTCGCCGCGAACCGTCTCCACGCAGGCGCCCGGGGTGGATGCTGCCGACGACAGAGGCGTTCACGGGGCGGCACATCCGCGCCTCCGTGCGCGCCGCGCAATTTTCGTCTCGTGGTCGCCTGCACCGCACTGGAGGAGACGGCTCGCCCAGCCGGCAGTCGGTGTCGTCACCGTCTTCGTAATCCTCTGCCCCCTCGCCATCGCCAGCGCCAGCAATGAATTGATACGCATTCCCTGTGTTTTTTTCGGTTTCGTGCGTGGTTTTTTCGCCAATTGATCAAGGATGCTCCTCGATGGTCCTCGCCGAGGAAAAAACGCACACGTCCGAGCGATGCCAAGACATTCATCACGTGTGCACTCATCACGGTTCCCTTCCCGGCAGTCGGCGGGCTCTGCGTCCGCCGCCGCCGCGCCGTCGCCGGCGACGCCGCCGGCTCCTGGCGTCCGATTGGGGCGTTGGGCGCTCGGCCCCACAGGCTGCGGACGTGCTCGTCGACAGCGCTGGCGATGCGGCCCGCCAGGCCTGTGAGAGCGCTCGCTCTGGTCCGACTGGAACTGCAACCTTTCGCCCAGATGGCCATGGGCCACGTGGAGCCCTGCACGGACAGGGCGGCCCCGTTGCTGATGAGGCTGCAGCCTGCCAGGAGGCAGAAGAAGAGTGGCACTGTGGCGGGTGCGAGGCGCGAGCTCCTTCGAGGTGCACCGCGTTGAATGAAGGGGCCCCAGGACACACAAATAAATACACACAAATAAAAAGACTCCCCATATTTTCCTATATTTTTTGGATTTTCGTCTTCCCCCCCACTTCCCATATTTTCCAATATTTTCCTAAAAATCGACGAATAATTGTGTCTGTGTGTTTTTTCCCCTCCTGATTGAAGCCCGTGGACCCATCGATGTTCACCCCGCTGGTAGCCCACTGCTCGTCGACACAATCTTGGACCTTCCGCATCGTGGGCTAGTGCTGCCGCACCTCGGGTTCCACCCTTGCGACGCCTGCCGCGCGAGGGGGGGGGGACCTTGATCCAGTGAGCCTCGGCCAGGCTGTCTTGCGCTGGCCGATGAGATAAGATCTGGTAAGATAAGACCAGGCAAACGAAGACCAGACACGTAAAGCAATACAATAGAATACCCTATCTGACACGATGGATGGTACTTGATATACGATCATATCATGTTTCACCAGGCACGGTCGTATAGCATGAAAACCAGGTGTGATGTGATACAATGATATGGGCTGATAAAACAACATATAATTCTATAATCTACAGGCAGATCTGATTATACCGGGCCGGGTAATATGGGACAAGAGCGGACATGGCACGACTTCAAACTATACAGCGATGTGGCATATAGCGACACATGTGCCACTATGAGACGACCAGTAAAAACATGCCAACATGCTATTAAACTGTGATGTTACATGACACATGATAAACTAAGATACGGTGCTAGATTTAAGACCATCAGCGATTAGGCCATTTGCGCTGTTACGGGGCACTGCAAAACATAAGGGGCAAGCCTGCAGCACTATAAGACCATGCATGTAAGATACTACAATATAGGATTGACTATACTTATGTTGGTTAAGATGGGGTATACCGAGAATACACAGGCTGATACAACATAGGGTAAGCGAATGCAGGATGAGAGGCGATTGTATAAACAATAACGCAAGTTGCGATACAACGAACTACTATATACATGATGCAGCGCGGTGATATAATATAACGGAAGGTGAAGCAAGACCATCTGAGACAATATAAGCACATGTAAACCGTTGATTAGGTTCTGTGCACATGTGTTACATTCAAGTTCGCCGGCAAGCCCCCGCACGCGTTCATATCAAGAGTTCGGGTATGGGGAATCCGGGGGGGCCACCACCGCGACTAACTATGTGAAACAATGCAATATACAAAACCAGTGGCACTGAAATGTATGGTTTTGAACTCCGTAGCATGGCGTAGACCGTGTCAATGCGATGCTGGTCTTTCTCGTGGCAGAGTGCCCCGTGATGCCTCGGCGCGGCGCCTCTGTATGCCATTGCCGTTGTCTCCCGCATGCGGGCCTGTCGCGCGCCATAGGCTGGCAACGCCTGCGACGTTGCTGGCGGCGGCGCACGGGCGCGCGGCAGTGAAAAGTTCAAAGAAGATCTGAAAGTTCTACAAGTGCAGAGACACTCCTGAAGTGCTGGAGCGTCTTAAGAATCATCAAAGCCTTTGGTCGCCTGGTCGCCCCAAAACTGAAAGACATTTTCATAATTTTGCAGATCTGCATGTACATACACCACATCAATTCTCAACGGTTTTGAAGTGCCAGGGCTTCTACAAGGTATAGAAGTAACGATGGAAAACGTTTGATATTCTTACACACAGTAAACATTCGAGCAACTTTGAAAAGGAAGGATGCATTAGAAAAATCACCAAATCTGAACAAGGTTAGAAGTTCGGGGGTTCTAAAGTTCTAAATATTCTTAGACATTGCACATACGCTGAAAGTTTTCGAATGTTCAGAAGTTTAGCAACCCGAGCAATTCGAAACGCCGTAACAAGTTGTAGAAGTTCTCCCATTTCAGCTCTTAAGCTCTAGCATGCTTGTGGCTGCCGCTCCAAATCTGGCATGCTGGCAAGATTCTGGATCGCGAGGACGCAACAGTCATGCTATGCCATGTTGATTTGCCGTGTTGAGTTCACAGGGATGGTGCTTTGGCGTGCTTGAAGATTTTCAAACTGTTGTCTTCCAATGGGGAACTTTTCGCAGTGCAAATAAATCCTTGTAGGGACATGTGAAGAGGGAACTTGGAGGGAGGGCTGACTGCAACATAGTTGATGACTCTTGGCTTTACTCTGGTCCTCCTCCTCCTCCTCCTCCTCCTCCTAAGGACTGCACGGAAACGCCGCATTGGACTCTAACCCACCCCCCCGCAATTGTCACTTGGTGCAAACGTTTGGCGCACCCCCGCCCCGATCATCCTCCTCTACTCCGCCCCCCAGCCTCGTCCTTCTCCTACTGCGGGGAGAGCTGTGAAGCCGGCACGGGGGGGGGGACGGGCCATACACTTGCCAGTGCCAGCAGGAAGAGGAGGAGGAGGAGGAGGAGGAGGAGGAGGAGGAGGAGGAGGAGGTAGCTGCGACGCAACAGCGGGCCAACAGCGGACGCTTTAGGAAAGCCGAGTCGGACCGACACATCACCAGCAACAGCAGCAGTCGCGCCCAGAGGCTCAACCCCTCTGAAGGGCATCCAGAATCGAGGTCAACATGCAACATCTTTGCCCGCTGGCGCGAGAAAACCAGACGCCGGCCAACTGGAAGCGAATTGGGCACTAAACAGGTGCGGACCCAGACATCCGACGTCTCGATTTTTCCGAGACGCGGGCCCCCGACCTCCCGACCGCTTTCCTGGGACCGGCTTTTCATCCGGAGTCGTTTTTTGACGGCCCCGAGGCCCGGCGAGGGCCCCGAGAGGCCAAACACTATGAGAAACCTCTGGCTCGATTTTTTCAAGACGCCCGATGTCCGATGTCTGGGGACAAAGAGGGAAGAGGCGCGGGTGAAGCGGAGCCGAAAAGGAAAGCTGCACGCGTCCAGGAGGGGAACACATCCAGAGTGGACTGAGAAGCGTCCATGCCGAAAGTCCACCGGTTCAGGCCTCTGTGCGTCCTCCTGCCCTGACCCCTCCTCCTCCCCCTCCTCCTCCTCCTCCTCCTCCTCCTCCTCCTCCTCCTCCTCCTCCTCCCTCCTCCTCCTCCTCCCCCTCCCCCTCCTCCTCCCCCTCCCCCTCCTCGTCCCCTCCTCCTCCTCCCTCCTCCTCCTCCTCCTCCTCCTCCTCCTCCTCCTCCTCCTCCTCCTCCTCCTCCGCTCCCGCCCGTGCGCGGCCGCGCGTGCTGGCCGTCCCTCGCCAGATCTCGTCGGCAGCGGGGCCACGCGCCGAGGGCGGCCCGCTCTCGCTGGGCGGGCACGCGCTGAAGTCCCTCGCTCTATTCCTGGCCTTCCATCCTTATTGAAGAGGCCCTGGCACATACAAATAAATACACAAATAACAGGATTCCCCATATTTTCATATATTTTCGGTGTTTTTGTCTTCCCCCCCACTTCCCATATTTTCCCTATATTTTCTCGGGAATCGACGATTATTTGCGTCTGTGTGTTTTGTTCCCTCCTGACTTATTCGTATATTATGCTCCTGCTCCACCCAGCCGATAGCCGCCGGATCCAGGACCTCCCGTCCTTCCTGCGAGGACAAAATGCATCGTCGACGTGGCTGCTCTCACCATGGACGTCCTGTCGCCCACGCCGCAGCATGGTGCGGCAGGCGCGGGACGAGGCGCACAGCCGGCGCGGAGGGGCGCACTGCCGCTCTCACCTCGGCCCCGCGCTCGCTTGTCCGGCGAGCTGAGCTCCTGCACGGCCGCGGCGCACACTGTTCGCACGCCACGCCGTCGACGCGCGAGCCCCAGGACATCCAGCTGCTCCGATTGCTTCGATGCTTGGGCCCAGGAGGTCTGGACCATTTCCCCGGGGCAGGTTTTTCGTCCCGGATCGTTTCTTGACGGTCCCGAGGCCCAGCGAGCGGACGAAATGTCGTTCTCGCCTCGGCGCCGCGCAGATGCGGCCTGACAAGGGCGCTCCCGCCTTGGCGCGGCGCAACCGTGCCACTCGTGAAGCTTCGCTTTCTTCGCCGCCCTCGCTCGCCCTACCCCCTCCCTTCCCCCTCACCCCATCCCCTCCTCTCCCCCTTCCCCCCCA